TCCCTCCCCCAGGTGCATCTCCAAGTCACTCCTGCTGCGCCGGACCGCCCAGCTTGGCGGAGACCGGTTTGCCAACCACATTGGCAAACACGCTCCGCGAGCCTTGCGCTGATAAGAAAATCAGGATCTGCCGGCATTTGCGCCACGGCGCAGGTGCGCTGTCTACAAAAATCAAGGCCTCTATGTTATCAGTTGAAGTGAGCATTCATTCTTCTGTTCCAGGATCAGCTGTTGTTTTGTGATGATTGTGACAGAGGCTACCACATGTACTGTCTGAGCCCACCTATGTCTGAACCTCCAGAAGGTATGTCATAACCTTTGCTTACCAAACCTAGCTTGCAAAAGTCTTCAAGGCATAGGATGTTTTGTTATTTTTTTCAAATTCCATTTTCAAGTGACACATCGATGAATCATCAACAAAATTATAAAATTTTACACCTGTAAGAAAGTGTGAGCTGTCTAGCAGACACAGCAAAGTAGCTCAACAGAATTGTTTCGATTTTTTTGGGGACAGTTCATGTTGCGTGGGTGGCCCAGTGATCCAGTGGTTAGCGCGTCGACCTCACAGTGCAGAGGTCGTGGGTTCAATCCTGGCTGTGACCTTCCTGTGTGGAGTTTGCATGTTCTCCCCGGACCTGCGTGGGTTTTCTCCGGGTACTCCGGTTTCCTCCCATATTCCAAAAACATGCATGGCAGGTTAATGGAACACTTGCAATTGTCCCTAGGTGTGAGTGTGTGCGTGGATGGTTCGTCTATGTGTGCCCTGCGATTGGCTGGCAACCGGTTCAGAGTGTCCCCCGCCGACTGCCCGAAGATGGCTGGGATAGGCTCCAGCACGCCCCGTGCCCCTAGTGAGGATAAAGCGGTTCAGAAAATGGATGGATATTGAAATAGTTCATGTTGCCTACCGCTACTTTCCAGGCAGAGTTCTCAGGGGTGGATCATAACTTTATTTTATGTTCATCCTTAAACATTCTACTGAATTTTTGTGGGTGCCCTCCTCTGAGGATTTTGATTTGTTGTCATGGAAATAAGTAACATTCAGTCGCCTGTTGTTTCCTTGGCACAAATGTTACTTGGTAAACAATGCCACTTTAGTGCAGCGCTGCCATGTTCTGACCACACATTTTCTATTTTGTTTTTTTTTTTTTTTAATTTCACACAATTATCTAAGGATCAGCAGTCATTCATGAACTGTCAACACATCAAAGTGATTTTACGCACGCAGCACTTTTGAATCTTAATGAATGTCACAAACCCCAAACCCATACTAACCTACTTGTCAAATCCCTTCCATCCGCTAAACGCAGGCCCAAATGCGATGCTCTGACATCAAGCTTTCATTTACAGCATTACTTAACACTCTGAGATGAAGGATTAATCCAAAAGGCTTTACAATAGCAGTGATTGAACTCACTGATTTGTGCGCGTGTGTATATGTGTGTGTTTCAGGAAGCTGGAGCTGTCATCTGTGTTTGAGACAACTGAAGGAGAAGGCCTCAGCCTACATCACCCTCAATTAATCTGTAGAGCTAGCTTTGCGTGCCTCTCATCCTTTTGGCCCTCCATCCTGTCCCAAACATTCCCTCCGTCTGTCTGTCCGTCGGCTGCCCTTTTCACGGAGTGCCGATGCGCCTCAGCGTTCGAACCCTGCGACCTTTGACTCAGCGCAGGACCCCAGCAACTTCCATCTGAACATCTTCTGAGGAGAGCTATGCCGTAACTTTCGCCGTCCATTTGTCATTCACACTCCTCGGCTGTGAATGGACGACACGAAACCCCAACACACACACACACGCACACACACACACACACACGCAGCGCACCCTTTTTGTCCTCTGGTGCAGAAGAATTCATCAGCTGGCAATAGGTTTGCTCACAAGACATACACTCCAGTCTGCCAAGGGCACTTTGGAGCAATACTACTCCACTGGAGCCCCCTTAAGGGCCCACAGAAGAGCCCTAATGATCTTTGGCTGCAACTCATTCAAGTAGTGAGTGAGAATTAACAAGACGGAAAGGTGCAAAGCAGAGGACGTGGCTTGGAAGACCCCGGATAGCAACGGGGGCAGTGACTTTTCGCTCATAACAAAACTTTGGAAAATGAACGTTGAAGTCTGACGCAATGAACTGGTGTCAGATCTTGCTGCCCTGAGCACTTTCCAGTAATTGTACAGAATTCAGTAGTCATTCTAAAAGTAAACTCTTGAAGACCATTCACCGGCAAGTGTGGAGCGCAAACCACCCTGTATGGGTTCCTCATGAATGATTTGGGAATGGATTCTGGAAGCTCACACTGTCCACTTCATATTCACATGTTGAAGAAGAGAGCGGATCTTCTCAAATCGGCGGTCTCTGACGAAACACTATTTGGGGGGCCGTGAAATGACTTTTTCAGCTTAGGAACTCTCCAAAAAAACCTTCCACTTCAGCGAGACAATGACTGTGAAGCCAATACATCACCACGTGCTTGCGTATTGTCAGTGTGTTGAGAATGTAGGACCGTTGTGTAGATAACAAGAGTTTGTCTGGCCTCTTTTTATTCTTCATTTTTATTATGATTACTTTTCATTTGGATGTAATTATTTGGGTTGTTTGGGAAATGTTTTTAATTGAAATTGAGATGAAAGCACACTTAAATCGCAATAATGTCTTTGTGATAAGAGCTGTTTTGACCAAATTAGGCGTGTTTTAAATGGCGTGCGTGTGTGTGTGTGTGTGTGTGTGTGTGTGTGTGTGTGTGTGTGTGTGTGTGTGTGTGTGTGTGTGTGTGTGTGTGTGTGTGTGTGTATGTGTGTGTATGCGTGTGGATCCAAGCAGTGCAGTAGCTGTAGCTAGCTCCGCACCGGATGGGAGCTTCTTCATGTGAGGCAATGGCAGTTGAGTATCGGAGAGGACATTTGAATGTGAGGAAAAGCAAGATTTTCCTCTCTGAAAAAAAAGTTTTTGTTGAATTTACTCCCATTTTATTTTGTCAAGTGTTTGCACGAAATAAAATCTTCTGGAACCGCATACATTTTTCAACGAGATATATAATCAACTTCAATGCCTTATGTGAATGAAATCTGGATGAGATAATAATCTTCTGGAAGCAACACTTGATGAAATAAAATGGAATAAATTCAGCACACCATTTTGCTGTTCAAGCAGTTTTCAGCAGTGATGCAAGTGAGACGCAGTCATTGTTTTAAGCAGGAAATGTCACAAGCTAAAGCTCGAGCGGTACATATGTGCAAAACCAAATTCAAATGACTGAATCTTGGAGTTCTCACTGTGACACACATTGTTGACCAGGCATTCCACAACACCAATTCTGTGATACGCCCTGATTTTTTTTATTTATTTATTTATTTATTTTAATTTACTCAATTTTAATGCGCCAAGTGATTGCGCAAAATAAAACCATCTGGGACCAGACACATTTTTTTAAGTTACAACGAAGTACTTAAAAAATATACCTGGATCCAGATTCTTTTATTTTGTACAACGACTTGCCAAAATAAAATTCAGTGAATTCAAGACGCCATTTTTTTTTTCAGTGTATGTTTATTTTTGGCTCGTTTTGGTGTGGTCTTTTTTTTGTGTCCTTGCTACAACACCCTCAATATTCTGGGGCTCAAATTTTGGGCTCAAACAGCGGTTTTATCTTTAGTATTCAATTTATGAGCAAATATTACATTTTATTTATTAATAACAACCACTCTGATAAATCAAGTTCATTTTGACCAGCTGAAGTTGCATCCAAACATGTCTGCTTATGTGTCACAGTCATAACATGCGCATCGATGGGCGTGGTTATCAAAGTTTCAGTGAAGCCTCATGTTATCCGGCATATGCCCCCCCCCCCACCTGCCCCTGCTTCTCGCTCTCTCGCTGCACAATAAACCACAAAAACCAGCATGAACATATGTGTCATTCAACCAGAGGAAATGCAACGCCTCATTAAAGATGCAAACTATTATATACTTTGGGAAGTCTTATGTTGAGAAAAAAAAAATCATATCCCGACCCAGCATATCTGGCTAACCTGGTCGGAAGCGCTGAATCAAATTTAGGAAATTGATTTTAACCCGGTGGTCGAGATGGTTAGCGCGTCGGCTTCACAGTGCAGACGTGTGCGTGGCTTTTCCCCGGGTACTCCAGTTTCCTCCCACATTCCAAAAAGATGCATGGTAGGCTGATTGAACACTCCAAATTGTCCCTAGGTGTGAGTGTGAGCGCGAATGGTTGTTCATTTCTGTGTGCCCTGCGACTGGCTGGCAACCGGTTCGGGCTGTCCCTGCCTACTGCCCGAAGACAACTGGGATAGGCTCCAGCACCCCCCGCGACCCTTGTGAGGATAAAAGAGGTTTCATCTTTGAGATGCACAGTGTCTTTTACAAACAGGGCGAAAGGGACATGTAATGCGGTTCGAAAAATGAATGAATGAATGAATTTCATCTTTGAGATGCACGGTGTCTTTTACAAACAGGGCGAAAGGGACATGTAATTTTCAATTTGCAGTCCTGTGCAAGAGTCTTCATCCATCATTAGATTTGTTGTTTTACCAATGCTGCAATCAGCGTGTGGAAGTAGGACGTCACCCAGTACAGCGCAGTCCTCTGCCAAAGTCAAACAAAAGTAACAAATAACAACAAGGAACAATCGGTGATGAGCGCCACTTTAATGTTCTGTTTGCGCGACTAGTCATTAGTGAGATTATTTCCGGGTTTATGGGGGGTGAACAACCAACTGGCGGTGCCATTATCATTCGGGGGGGGCTGAGAGATGCATTGATGCCACGCAAACTCAAATGGTGAAAATGCAATTCTCTGTCTGTCTTACTAAGTTTGGTTTGGTACATTTTGCATTATACTGCATCCGTCCAAGTTTTACTTTGACAAAATGACTGCTTCGAAAAAAGGTCATTGAAACAATAGCAAAAGTGGAGGATACTGTCGCACCACACTGTGTTGTACACATGCAAATTGTACGTTTGTTCGAAAGCCTACTAAAGTCAGCCAAAATGTTTCGGGTAAATCCACCAAGCAGTCATCTGGATGTGAAATCATAATTTGAGTGGAAATAGCAGATTGCTCCTTGATTGAGAGTTGGAATGTTTGCATTTTGGGGAATGGATCAAGACAAAGGTAACTCGAAAGCCTTTAAAATGAAAAGCTTCCCTGGCGCTTGATGGTGGAGTCTGGAAAAGGATCCGGCAGCCATTTTGTGGGACACACATCATGTTGTTGTAAATTGGAATCTAAAGCAGCAAAACTAGACCCAATTTCAAAATGTACGGTGGCAAGGTCAGAGTTGATCCCTCCTTTTTGCCATTATTGTTTTTTTGTTTTTTGTTTTTTTTTGTAAATGCTCAGTCTGTGCTTGCACTTTTTAATTTCCTCACCAAAAAGAAGGTAATTGCAAAAACGGTATGTGTGTGAGTGTGTAATTATCATTTTTGCAGTTTTTTTCCCCCCAATCTGATTGTCTTCTGTAAATAACCCTGGATAAAAAGTTTTAATTTCTATTTTCTACCTTGAGAGGAAGACGAAATCTTCTTTGACACTTTTTATTCTCATGCTGTCATTACTGCAATCATTGTGTGTAAATTCAACATTCTCCATTTTTTTTCTTCCCTTGACTCAGATTTTTTTCATTAAAATGATGAGACTGAAAAAGAATGTGCTGGATTGTCATTTGTGTGTTTGTATGCATGCATTTATTTTATGGGAGCATATAAATGGAAATTATTCGGTCTAGGGGAAAATGTTCTTTTTTTTCCTGGGTGCAATTATGAACCACCTTTTCCTAGAATAGGTTATAAAATGCCAATTCTTCCCTCGCCCTGCGATTGACAGGCGACTTGGTTCAAGTTGATCCATGACACTTTTGAAAACAAGCAGTCTTTCCAGAGGTTCTCCAATGCATCTGAATAACCATTACATTTGTCAAAAAAATAATGTCTCCAATAATGTGTACCATGGAATTGTTTTGGTCTATAATGGCTGACTTGAAATCTCTGAAAAAGGGCAACATCAAGGGTTTGCAATTGTCTTCTGAAAACCTGCAGAAGAGAGCAAGCAGACTTTGCTATTCAGGGCAGGTCCACTTTTTTTTTTCCTCTTTGTGATGCATTCCTGCAGAAAAGACATTCATCACAGTGTCTGTGTTGACCAGACCTGACTTTGCAACAACAGCGGGGTGTAGTTGAGCTGCTCAACCATTCCCTTTTCCCTTCTCTGCCTCCTTCCACAAGCCAGACACCAAGCTGCTTCCTTGAGGGAGTAGAGGTGTTTTAGATTTGAAATGGGCTTTGAAAACATGTTTAAATATTTCCTGCATTCGATATTTGGCACCCTTTCCAAAACCTTCCAAAGCCAACCCCCGCCACCGCCAACATCTCCAAAATCTTCGAAAACCCCGTGCCTGAGTGAATGCAGCACACCCGCATGCCTACACACACACACACACACACACACACACACACACACACACACACACACACACAGCCGAGAACCGCCATGTGATGAGCGCCACTTTAATGTTCTGTTTGCGCGACTAGTCATTAGTGAGATTATTTCCGGGTTTATGGGGGGTGAACAACCAACTGGCGGTGCCATTATCATTCGGGGGGGGCTGAGAGATGCATTGATGCCACGCAAACTCAAATGGTGAAAATGCAATTCTCTGTCTGTCTTACTAAGTTTGGTTTGGTACATTTTGCATTATACTGCATCCGTCCAAGTTTTACTTTGACAAAATGACTGCTTCGAAAAAAGGTCATTGAAACAA